TGAAGTATTCTATATAACATAAGTGATTTTGAAGGTGGTTTCTTTAATTATATATAAATCTCATAAATATATCTGAGATTACCTTTTATCATCTCTAACAATTCAATTATCACTCCCTTATCAGTTTGTAGAGAAGCAATATTATTACACAGAGATATTATAAACAGGAGCATCTGATGCTCAAAATGCTGCAATAATAATAATAATAAATATCAAATATCTGATCTGAAGTCACAACCAACCAGCCTAGAGAAATGGATATTACTTCAATGCCTGATTTTGTTAGCTGGGTATGATGTAAATTCACTATAGAAAATGTGTTTTAAGATAACAAAAGGCATTTCTGTAATCCTGTTATTATTGACTAACAAGATGGCAAAATTATCTTAAACTTGGAATGTGACAATGACATCCTACTTAGAACATGCTGATGATCATATTTTGAAAATATTGAGTCCAACTGTTCTATATTAACTCTGTGGCCCAACAAGAGTTGACATAGTAACCTTACTCCATGGTATTAAAGCACCAAAAATGAGTAATAAGAGTTTGGTACCAACAGAAATAAAATGAGCTGTGTTAAATATATATGAGAGAATTCATGCCTAAGCAAGGTTACAAATATATAAACATCATAATCTCTTTGGTTTTTAAGAAAATAAAAAGCACCTGGTTGAATCACATTTTGCATCAGTACATACATACAGATTGGTTATAAAGTGTCCTCTGTATTGGATGCTACAGTTCTCAATCGGCTAGGTAACTGTTCATATACAAAGAACACAATATCCTTGATGTCACGCCATGTAGTCTAGTAGGAAATCAGTGATGTCTCAGAGGATCATATTACCTCCATCTTCATGGTGTAAAAGTAAGCCAGGCAAGCAAGCAGCTTGCTCTACAAACCTGAAGATGGAAGCAGAAGTTCCTGCGAAACACTGATAAACTTCTACCACTACATAATGTAACATCCCAGAAGGTAGTGTTCTTCATAGTCACTAGTGTGAGCACCTAAAATCTCATGTGTTATTTGTTGCTTGCAAATATTATCCAGCAGTGCATGAATCATATGTGCTTCACATTCATTTACTAGTCTTAGTATATATATATATATATATCCGGAGCTGGGTAGCGCGGTCAGTATAGCGACTGGCTAAGGGCTGGACAACTGAGGGGTCAGAATTCGAGTCGTGGTATGGTCAAGAATTTTCTCTTTACATTGTCCAGACTGGCTCTGGGGTCCACCCAACTAGGGGCACTTTCCCCAGGGGTAAAGCGGCAGGGGCATGAAGCTGACCACTCAACTCCAACTAGTGCTGAAGTCAAGAAAATGTGGCTATATACATCCACCATCCCCCCCCCCATAGGCCTTCAAGGCATAATGCTTAATTATTTAAGTACCGCGACGTTACTTTTACTTTCAGCATATATATATACACATATAAATTTCCATGGAAATTTTCAGAAAGAACTTCATGTCACTTTCAGAAAAATTACTGAACAAGTAAAGTCCAAAAAATTTTAATGAACTACTGAACATTTGAAGCCCACTCTTCTAGACAGCAAAATACATGAAACAGCCATTCTGAAACATACAGTCTTTTGAATATAGACAGTATACATTATGAACAGATATTTTCATAGGCAAGATAAAGTGACTTTAAAATTATGGAAGAGATTTTCAAAGTGATATGAAGCTTATACCAGGTTCTCACATCAGTATTCTAAAGCCCTAGTGGGTTTCATTAGCTTAATATACTCATATTGAACTCTGTTTATATATCCCATTATCCTCAAAATAGATAATAAGCATTTCAACAAATGAAATGAATCAACTTCATATGATCATTAGCAGTGCTTGAGGTGGAATGAAAATAGAACCGGGATGGTTTTCCCCTTTTAATTCAGACATTTAATTCATAGGCATTTACTGCCAAAGAAGTAACGGGATGCTTTTAAGCCATTTAGAAAAAAACCGGGATGCCATCCCGCCGCATCCTGCCCCACCTCAAGCCCTGATCATTAGTATAGTATTGATTCTACACGAACTTGTCTATAAAACCGAAATTAACGGCCGTGGGGATTTGGTACATTGACCATGTGCCACCCTCTATCCGCTAAAGTTGGCACTAACTTCACTGACAAGCAGTGATCACTCAATCTGTATAGTTCACTTGTGGACTCAAGCCACAGAGTTTTCTTTAGCTACATGCAAATTAAAATGCTTTACTCTTCTTGTGAAATGTAGGTTTATGACATGTCCTCTGTAATAAAATTGCACTGAAATCATCTACCGTACAACTTGTTTTCAACCTGACATCATGAGAAGTTAAACAGTTCTGTCTAGGGAGACTGGTGAAGATTTTTCTTATTTCAAGTACTTATGCCCTTGCATGTTTCAGTCTCCAGAGACCATCATCAGAGGGACATCTTTACATCAATACAGTTAGAAGCCACTATTACAATATATGTTCTAAAAGTTAAATTGTATACATACAATATTAATAATATACAATTTTGTATAAAATCTAAAGTCTTTACTACAGTGGCTGTTCCAATATGTTAAAATATGGTAATGTGTTTTGCTACTGAAGACGCCGCAGATTGTTATTTGGTTTATTTAACAACCTACAAATCGTAACTACAAATATTTATAACACTGTTACGGGTTTACACACTTTACAAACCCTACTCACAAATCTCTTCACACTATCTTCAGTAGTCTTCACGTATTAATAATGCAGGAGCTATACAAGTGTCACCATCACACTCCCAAAATCTTCTTACACCATCACCTCGAATCATGCGTTCTGGTATTCTTCACGTTCACGATTCACTTGCTACAACTGAACTCGGAGACTGCTACAATTCAACTGACTCCTTAGGCAGTGCAGTTCTCTTATAAACCCTCAGCCAGACAACGGAAAACGCACCTCGCTTTCCTGTTGCGTAATCGCCATGTTTACAGGTATTGCTGGGCAACGGTGCCAAGAGGTGTTTATTGCTGCGTAGCAACCAGCATGCTTCAGATCGGTTCAGCTCACTTCGGGCCTACTTGGCATGGCATGGAGAAACACCGCTTTCCTTACTGTTGTATAACCTGGCAACCGACCGTTTATCAAGGGTCTGTCTTCGTGGTAACTCGTTCCACCTTCTGTTGCCCCGCAACAGTTAGACATGTCACACTGCTCCCTTCTAAAGGTTGTTCATCCCAAACAGCCTAACGGTACATCCCCGTCCCGTTTTCTTCCCATTGTCCGTTCTCCAACTCTACATCTACCTCCTTCTTATGGTTGCTCGTCTCGAGCAGCTCCATGATAAGGCACGAGTCAGTCCAGGTGTACTACCAAATTCTCGACCAGGGTTCTTCTGGATTCTGTATACCACATCATTTATCCGGGTTACTACTTTGTAACGGCCTTCCCACGAGGATTGAAGTTTCGGTGATTTCCCTTTCCTGCAGGTTGGGCAATAAAGCCAAACTCTGCTGCCCTCGTGGTAACCTGCGGAGTTGGCCAGTTTATTGTACCGAGTTTTCATCCAGTCACTGGCGAGCTTCAGGTGTTGTCGGGCATAATTGTGGATGTCGTGTAGATGATCCACCAAGTCTGCTGCATAATCGGTTGTGGGTAGTTCCTTGTCTGGGGGTACCCCAGAAAGCAGGTCGCAGGGCAGTCAGAGTTCTTGTCCGAACACTAGGCTAGCAGGGGTCAAGCCCATAGTGTTGTGAGTGGATGCCCTTTATGCTACGAGAAAGAAGGGTAACCTCTCATCCCAGTCCCTCTGGCGGGATGCAACGACCTTCTGCAAGTGCTCCTCGATGGTCTTAATGTAGCGTTCCACCATGCCGTCCACTGTGGGTGCAGGGGTGTGGTGTGCTTCTTGCGCACTCCCAGGCATTTCAAAACTTCTTGTAGCAGATGAGACTTGAAATTATGACCTTGGTCACTGTGCAACTCCCGAGGTATGCCGAAGCGGGAGAAGAAGTTGGTAACCAGTACTTCTGCTATTGTTGACGCCTCCTGATTGGGAATGACGTAACTTCCGGCCACTTGATAAAGTAGTCCATAGCAATCAGTAGGTATTGGTTTCCTTGGTCGCTTTGTGGGAAGGGCCCTGCGATATCAATGGCTATTCTCTCGAAGGGACCCCCAACATTATACTGGTGCATTTGCCCACGATTCCTGGTCCACAGTCCCCGACTGGCTGTACATGTGTCATACTGTCGACAACATTTCTCAATATCAGCTCTTGCTTGGAACCAGTAGAAGCTCTGCCGAACCTTATTCAGGGTTTTGTTAACACCCAAGTGACCTTCTGACGGTCCACCATGTAGTTCGCTCAGAACGTCCTTCACCCTGCCCTGAAGAATAATTATCTGGGCTACTTGACTTCTTCCACTGGCAGATTCCCAGTTGCACTCTAGTATTCTGTTTCTCACAGCGAGCAATTTCCATTGAGCCCAGTAGCTTTTGTAGGTGGGACTCTGATCCACGATATCTTGCCATTCCGGTTGTTTTCCAGTTTCTTCAACAGCTACATAATTGGTTTGTTAAGACTCTGTTGGAATTCATAAACGAAGCAGGTTCGTGTCATCCCTCTTAATATTTCTTTTGACGGGGGCCGAATGTGTGCCACCCTGTCATTCTCGAGAAGAGGGTTCTTTAACATATTGAAAAGGCCGCGCCATAGCTCAAGCGGTTAGTTGCTGGTTTCCCACTGCAGCGTCCCGGGTTCGATCCCGGGTCTGGTCAAGTGGGATTTGTGGTGGACAAGGTGGAATTGGGGTGGGTTTTCTCCAAGTACTTCGGTTTCCCCTGCCAATCTTCATTCCACCAAATTCTCCATCATCATAATCACCCGGGGCAGGCTACAATAGGCCAATCAGTGGCCACTGTGCCGAGTGGACCAAGTTGGACTCCACCCCCCACTAAGTGAAAAAGATGTACTGGAACGGCCGCTGTAGTTGTAAAGACTTTAGATTTTATACCTTATAGATACCTTTATAGATTAAACCTGGATTCAAATTCATTATATTTTTGTGGGAATTACAAATTATTGATTTAAGCTGCAACATATGCAGCACAGAAACTGTGGCTGAGCATACATACAGGACAGATATACAACTTCTTTCATTTGTTATCTTCATTTAATTTTACTAGGTGTTCTCAGATCTCCCTAATGAATTGCCTCTGCTACCCAGTATGTTCAAGGCTATTTACATATTGTGAAAGGCTACTCCATAATCATTCTGTATGGTACTAGATGCTCATTACTACAACTGGTATTATAACCAGCTTCCTATTCAATGTCAAGGAAGTACATATCATGTTTAAAATAAATTCAACTATCAACTTATTAAAAACTACCTCTTTTACAAATTTGAGTATCTGTCAGAGTTATGTAAGAGAGCTCAGTTTTAAAATTGAATGACCATTTAAAATTCAAATTACATGTACATCAGCCTTACACATTTTCAAACACATTCATCTTTCATGTAAATATATTAGTTTCTATTGAACAGAAGCTGTTTCAGAAAACTTTTTAGTCAAACAATTTTTAATATGTGTACAACGGCTTTATAATGGTAGATAATGGAGAACAAAGGAGGATCACTTATTTTAAACCAACATGGTAGCTGCACCTTATGCTAGGGATCAGGTATGGTGGTGAATGTATGGTCAGATATTTGCAAGTTCATGTGATTTATAATTAGTTATATGTATTTTTAACACTACAAGTACAAAGTAACAAAAATTCTAACCTTACACAGGTGCATGTGATGTCCATATCAAAACTTCAGCCTTTACAAGAAGTGCCGTACTTGACAGCTTGTGACATCTACTACCATTTTAGCTGAAGTACAGTTAGGAATGAAATCACAGAAGCTTTGATAATCTAAAATGGCAGGTACTGTAGGGTTAATATATTATCAATATTCCATGTCTGTAATTCTTTTAATAACCAGAAACTGTAACTCATATTCATATTGGCTTACCTTGAGAAAGTAAAAACAATTATTTTTTCTGCTCTCTCTACAATTATGTATAAAACACATGTCTGTATGACTTGTGCACTCTCCGCCATCATGTGTGATTCTTCTTCTCACAAAATATTTACTCAACTGCAAATGTTATAAACTATTTAACATTACCCTTGTAGTAAAATAAGCCCAACTGCAGGCACTCATGTACAGGTTTAACAAACAATATTCAACAATAACACTAATAAAAACATCTTCACTCCACTCATGTGAAAGACTATTGTTTTAAAGCTATGGAATTTATTTTACATATTGGCAACAATAACTTAAGGGTTACTACCTTGTGTCACCTCTGTTGGGTAAAGATAGTTGAGTATGGCATAGTAATGAACACCAGCTGCCAGGACAACAAATATATGCCAGATGGCATGTGCACAAGGTATCTTACCATCTGCTTTAAAAAATACAACACCAAGAATATAGAGGAGCCCTCCAATCTTCAGTTCAGTCAGACCCGAGAAATCATGCTGGAAAGAGAAGGCATTTTCTGATGACACATTGCATAAAAAATCAAATAAGAAATATCCTCTTCAGGATCTGAACCAAAAAGTTTATTGTGGAAAACTTTTCAAGAGAGTGGAAATGATATATGAAATAAAACAACATTCTTATTTATCTAACATCCTAATCTCAGAATTCATTTTATTTTACATGCAACAGCTTGAGAACTGAAACTGTAAAATATATTAATTAAAAATATGTATAAAATATAGGGGACAAATCATTAATCATGCTACCTAAGCTAATATCACATTGGTTCGAGCTGTTTAAACATTACCACTGTAGCCTCTTATAACAAATATGAACTTCTGGCATAACTATTAACAATATTTATACACATTTTATGATTGTATATAATAATAATTAAGCCTAGAAATCCAGAATATGAAGAGTGGGATATAATGCCATGCAATCTGTTGAAAATCAACTGACATTTTGGACGAACATATCACCTCCACCTTCATGGTCGAATAAACTGAGCAAGATACCAGCATGAAAGCATGTACTGTCACCTGCTTTCATGCTGGTATACTGCTGGATTTATTTGACCCAGAAGGTGGAGGTGATATGTTCCTCTGGAATGTTGGTTGTCTTCCAACACACTGCATGGCGTTATATCCCAAAGATAGTACCCTTCATAACCACTGCTGCAAGAACCTCAAATCCTACAATCCAGACTATGTCAGCACTGATATATGACATTTTGTCAGGATATTTTCACTTCCAGTTGCATATCTTCCCTATGTTTATGTGTCAGAAACTTGGCTTATATGCACAAATGACTAAACATAGCCAACAAATGCCACTGATTCACCATTTCATGTGCAACATGTCCTTCGAAAACTTATATAAAAGTTACTTACATCAAATAATGCATCTTTTTAAACCTCATTTAAAAGAAAGCATTGTGTGATGTAAGAAACTGTTAAATAAGCTTCAGAAGGACATGTGGCATGTGAGACAGTGAATCAGTGACAATTCTTGAATAATAAAAGACATGCAAGAGGATGCTACAATATGACATTATAAACATAATCAAGTTCAGTTCCTCATTTATGTATGATCTGCAGTATCCACGATATTTTTGCATACTGAAAGGAGTAAAGAACTCTACCCTTAAAAAATGTACACAAACAAACCTCTACTAAAGTTAATTAAAAAAAAATGGGACAAGGAGTTACTCTTGCACTGAACTATCTGTAACATGCTGTCCCTTGTGCAATGGAAGCAATTTTATTGACATGTCCTCAAGATATCTAAAAACGCTTGCTACAGTTTTGGAAATGGACCACTCCACAGAATAATGAAACACATATATCTCATACTGTATAAATTACAGTTGAAGAAGAGTGATTAATAAACCCAGGGTGTCATATATGAGTATGGCATGCAGAAATTAAGTATGGCATACAATTTCATTTAAATTTTGTGTTTAGCATGCAAATTCTGAATTGTGGTTCTTCCTGTTGCCTAAAATTTTGAGGAAACATCCAGCTATGGATAAACTTTGTTGAGACCTGGCCGTGACTATTTCCGTACACCATTTGAATGCAAGAAACACACAAGCTGATAACTTGTCTCAGGATGTAAACTTCAAGAAAACTGTGACTTTGCAGTTTGGTCCGTACAGAACTTGCGTTTGATTCATTTTTAAGCAATGGACTTTTAAATAGGCGAAACCACAAGACCTTCATTTTTTGAAATTTTGCATGTGTACTTACTCTACCCGATAACACAATCTTACAGCCTGAGATATATCAGAATTATAAATATTTTTGGTACCTACCATACTAATTATAGCTATGGATGGTACAATGCCCATGAGAAGATAAAAGAAAGTTTCCAGACATTTGTATCGTTCATGGAACAATTGCTGGTACAGGATACCAAGTGATGCAAGAACCCATACTATCCACCACAACTCAGCAGTCCAACCAGTTAGAGGAAATGGCTGTATGGTGAGCCATGGGAAGTATGATGCGGCTATGAAGACATATATCATCGCTCTATCACCACGATGTAACATGTCCTTCAACTGCCTGCATAAAGAATGAAGATACAGCTTTAACATGACTTAAAAAGACATGGAGATCTTTGGGAATGGTGAATATACATATGTTAAAATAATTCCATACACACTTACTTCCAAACTATGAATCAAATGGAGCATTAACTGCACTTATTTATGCATTTAAATGAACACATAATGGTGAGGCTGCATGCCACTCTGGCTGCACATTTCATTTCTGAAAATACTGAATGGATTTTGATTGTATGTTACTGGGTGTTTATATTGTAAGTTGTCAGAGGATTTTAAATGTTGGCAGCTTGCCACCATAAAAAGGAGAAAAGATAGATGTGTGGCCTTTTTACAGACTGTTCCACTGCCATAATCAGCCACAGCTTTGAAACAGCGATGAAATACTGTCTAGGATGTGGATCCACCCAATTTTGGCAGCGTCACCAAGACAGTACTGGTCCCTGAATTCCTCTCACTTCCACATCTTGTTTGGATTTCTACTGCCATCAACTGTCATCAACATCAAGTTGCATAAAGTCTTGTCAGGTCATGTCGAGTCACACTGAGTAACATGTATGTCTCGTTGTGTCACTTGCAGCCCACTCCTAAACCTATCACAAAGATTTTGTAAACAGATAAGGTTCAGCGTCTGACTACTACCAAGGAGATCTCCAAAACATCTGAGTTTGGTTCAACACCAACACAGCTAATTTGCCTGAGAAATTTTAGGATATTTATTCACTGTGGAAGCTTCAAATCCTACTATATACTTACTACAATGAATGGCTAAAGTTCTGTACAAAACCAAATTCTGCGATGAACATATCAGCATCATACAAGAAAAAAAAAAGCAATCAGTAGCTCTCAATGTATTGACAGTTCCACCTCCAAACTGCAGTGCATTTAAAGTATTGACCTGTGATATAATGGTGTTATACTGTTCCCTCAGTGTCTTCTTTTTCATTTTTATTTAAGCTGGTTATTGAATGATGATGTCAGCATACAGACTGTATAGCATCAACAACAAATCATGTGAAGCAACACTGTTCTGGTTAAAATTTAAGATTAAAGTTGCCACAGTAAAATTTCATAGTAGTGAATTAATATTTAGGGTGATCAAATCAAAAAGTGAGATGGGTTGGGCACGGGCATGCATGGGAGACATGCACACAAGAGGTTAGTAGTAAAACTTGAAGAGATGAAATTAATAGAGAAACACAGGCATATAAAAAGGTAAAGAGCTATTCCTGTAACAGGCTGTGAAGGCCCATAGGGTTGTGAGACATCGAGACTCACATTTTCTTTAAACAGTCGGCTCACAGATGGCAGTAAGGTTGCCAGCCTTACAAGACAGTCACCCTTTACCCATCAGATATGTGGAAGGATAATATTAAAATTGATCCTAAAGAACTGGGGTGTGAGGATGTGGCTTCATTTATCTGGCTCAGGATAGGGTCCAACGGAAGGTTCTTGTGACCACAGTAATAAATCATTAGGTTCCATAAAACAGAGGCAATTTCTTGACTGAATACCTTTCAGTTTCTTATGAAAGATTCTGCTTCTTGGAGTTAGCTACTTGCTGTGCAATTCAAGATTGTATCAGAAGTCAGTTAGAAACATATTTACCAAACTAATAGTATTTGTTACTGTGCAGACTGGCTAGTATTATGAGAAGATATAACCAACTGCTTGCAATCAGCAAAATTAAACTGTTTACAATGATGTGTCCATCCTCTTCACACCCTTTTAATTCTTCAACCTGTCTGGTTATATTACATATTGTTAAATCCTGTAGTGTATTTCTATTGGCCTTTACGTGCCTTCAGCCAGGTATGTAATGTATAAATCCTACACTCACCTCAAAACCCCCTACAAGTTTCCATTACATGGTTCTTAGACACAGGGACAAATTTTCTTTTTACATTTTACATTTTACAGTTTTACATTTAAGTCCATCCATTAGCATTCTAGGCATCCTCAAATTGGGGTCATAAGATGTGTGCTGTCACTGGAATGCAACAGAGAAGGCTTCCTCATGTGAAACTCATGAAACTAATCTATGTAACCTATCTTGTATGACTTTAAGATGTTTCTGGGCTTCAATTGACCTTCAGACTATTAGAAAACTTTTATCATCATAACTGGAAGTGACCCTTATCCCATTCATGAAAAACATACAAGGGAGTTCTTACTGATCCAGTTATATGGAACGGCAAAATGGTTTTAACAAAGAACATCTTTATGTAAATTGTAATTAATGATAATGACAAACTATTTTATCAGACAGTATATTTCTGTTCATAAGCAAATGTTGATGTAAGTTGCATGATTAAATGATACCATTAAATAAAGGGAAAATTTTGTTGAAAATTAATCAAAAGTATGAATTTTCAAAAGCAAGATCACATAGGCAGTTCTGTATTTTTAACTCTCAGTCACATTTCTACCATTTTCTATTTCACAGCTTAAATTTCACATTTGACAAGCTCAACTCATAAAACTATCAAATTAAGTTAACCCTGCACATACATAAAATACCATGAAGATGTATAGGGGGAGTGGAGGTAAAAGACTACACATTTTTAACTTCAGAACTATATGGACGCAAATGGCTCTGGCTGCTTTACCTCTCAAGAAAATGTCACTGGTATCCATCTGATATGAAGCTATGGTGTACCACAGAGCCAATATGGATATAGTGGTAAAGATAAAACTTCCTCCTGTGCCACAAATTAAACCTGAGTTGTCCAGCCTAAGAGCCAGTCAATTTATTGCCTAAGCTGCTCCAGCCCATGGGTTCAAGTCCATAAAAGGATAAACTTGAGAAAAAAAAGTTAAACAATCTAACAACTAGAACACATCATAAGAACAGTTCATAATATGCAACCAAAATTTGTCCTACATCAACATATAAGTTCATGTGTGTCTACTTTTGCAACTAAAGACTTCTTAAACATTCTGGATTGCAGATCAATTTACAAATTATTATGATTCTGTATTAGTTCCGAAGTTTATGTATCAAGCCAAATAAGGAATGAAAACCCACTACCTTAATATCAGAACATCATTAAAAAATGGATCAGTATGTCTTGATTTACTAGGAATCATTCTGTAAGGACTACATTAAATGGAATAGTCACGAGATGATTATATATTAAAATGTAAAACAAGACTGGGAATTATGTTCTTCGTTTGGATGACATACAAGACCATCTTTCACTGGTATTCTTCGCTCATAATATAAAGAATGGTTCTGAGATTGAAACAGGAACAAAAAGATAATTCTAAATTATATGATAAGAAGAATAGTTCACAAAACCTCTTAAAATATGCTGAATAAATAAAACAAATAAACGTAGAAATGAAAATATCGGCATGAAGGCATATCATGATACTGTCGAAAATAAGTTACAAAGCAGTATAGTAATCTAATGAAAAACATATTTTCTCCATAGCAATGTCCCAGTTACTTTGGACACAAAATAAATAATGTACTGACCAGCTGATAGGTATGCTACTGTTATTTTTTTTTTTATTATTGCAGAATCCAGAATTTCATTCTGTCAACATAACAACTGAGCAATTCTGTATCTTCATAGCCTACATTCCAAAAGTTCCATTTTCACACAATCCTCCTCAGACACTTTGTCTCTAGGCATGTATCTCAGCTTCTATATATTTAAGCACAGTATAAATAAATAAGAAAATGATCCAAACATTACATAAATCAGCAGTTAAAAAACTGGCAAAGTTTCAAGTAACAAGTCTTCTGATGGGTATCTAAAAATATCCTAGACTATGTTACACACTGTGCTGTTCATGAAATTGCTTTACCCACATGCCTCACATGTTCAATCTGATACATATAAATGGCAGTAATGAATCTATATAGTAAGTACTAACACTTATTCATCACAATATGCCAGGTCAAAACCTATTAATTCAAATTGAGTAAAATAGCCTCACAACTCACAGGGCAAAAGCTTACACTTATTTTAGCCACTTGCAGATGTAACGGGCATGCAAGCTGATGTATGTGGAGTTTAAACAACTTCTGTGGGGTTGCCAAAAAATATAGTGGACATTAAGCAAGGAACCAGTTACAGATAGAGAACAATTACACAATGTGCACTTACAAAAGAACACAGTTACATGCGATAATTATTACATTTTAATCAGACTGCTTCATGACACTTTCTATTTTGACTAACACATTAACAAACACTGCAGAAATGCAATAACCATAACACACACCATACAATACTAAGCAAAATGTTTGTGGCTCGATCATCACATACGGTCCCGTACATGACACAGTCTTAACAGTGGTTGCAACCTGACTGCAATGATTTGTAACAGCTACATACTCGTATTACACAAAGATGAAACATGTGGAGTGGACAGCACAATATATCATGCCACTGCAGCAGGGTCAACCAAAATATCCCCAAACAGAATTGTCAAGCATAGGTTGTGTATAATAGTCAAAGCACACAGACTTCCTGTTATTCTTTTACAGTAAACCCTCATTATTCAGTTACAGTTAATCCAGATCAAAATATGAAAAATTAAAAACTGTGTTCATAGCTGAGTACATACTTTAAAAGAGACATGGGATTTAGGAGCAAGAGAACTTTAAGACTGGGCTAAGGGCAGTTGGGAAGGCCGAAACCACATATGAAAATATATAATAAACAAAAATGTAAATGTTCGTTTGTCTCTGATTGAAGATCTCCGAAAGTTCTTCACTGATTGCTTTGAAATTTTGGCACAACGTTGCATTCGAATACGCGCGTTTTTTTATGTACCTATTATATAGATGTCACACCTGTGACAGGTAAAAACATGTCACATGTTCCGAATCCAGCAGTCGTTTCCATAGTAACGCTAGAACAGTTGCATAGGATAAGAGGTTCCATTGCATAACAATGGATGAAACCGGAAAGTATACTTCCATGGAAATGTAATAACAGTGGGCCGTTGCATAGGAATTGCCTAAACAACAAACGCGTTTCCCCGGAGATGAGAGGATAAGAGGTTCCGTTGCATAACAACGGATGAAACCAAACACTTCTACAAGGTGTTCTGTCGTCCATCGAATACCAACAGATCGTTGCCTAGGAATAACCGCAGCAATGAGCACAGAACAAGTGAAATCGAACCCTGGGCGAAAGTGCCCTCTATTGTGTCCGAAACCAGGTTATAACAGTCCAGCTCCAAAGAGTTTTTTGGTGATACTGGATGTGATAATAATTGTACTCGCTGGTGTAAAAGTGAGCGTTCAATAACTTATTTGCTGAATCCGAGACGTACGTGTTAGTTATCTGAGGAGACACGTGACCACAACAACGTTACATAGGTAACACGCGACATATTCTTATTATCAAAGTACACATAAATAATGCAACAATTTAAAAGACATCAAGAATATGTCACTCACTAAAAATGTGTTTTAAGACTTTATGATGTTAAAATCATGTGTGACATATGTCACACCTGTGACAGGTTGGTTGGTTGTTAAAATATTAATTGTACTCAATATTAATATACTGTAACGTGTTATACGTCATTCATTTCATGAGTATAGTTTATTTTTCATTGTTTTTCATTTCGTTTTCTTAACTGTTTTCCCTATTTTTCAGTGCAATTGGCGGTGGGAGTGAGCTGTGTTGATTGATCTGCATTTGAATTGAAATATTTCGTTAGTATTTCTTTTTTTTTTATGTTTCTTTGTTTTCCAGTTTGTGTTCTTTCCTTTTTTGATGTTTTGCAATTTTATATGTTTTTGTTATGACTTTCTTTCTTCTTCTTCAGTGCAATCGATCTGCTTTAGTTCATCCAAATAATGCCTCGCAGAAGATCAAACTTAGGTCATCGTACTCGCGGAGCGGAAGCAATTCACTCGATCTGCCACAGCAACGCATGGCCGGGTACAGCTAGTATATAATAAATATAAAATAAATGATCAAAGATTTGCTTGACAATGGAATTAATTACTGCAGCGATTTTTTGTACTTATTTTCTTCAGTACTACTGATATTATTAAATTTTCCCTTAAATTCATTTTATGTTTTTTTTCTTTTGTCTCTTAGGGCTACCTTTTGCTTCTTTAATCCAGAATATCGCTTAATTCAGATGACCTCTCCCCCTAATTAATCCAGATTAGCAACAGTATACTGTACTCTGGTTGCTCTTCTGCTATCCACATCATCAGCTTCAAATTATATAATTACAAGAAATAAAACAAACTCCATGGTTTTAGTCCGCAAGCGAACTATACCGACTAAATTATATAATTTGATGTTGAAATTCTATACATAATATGGCAGCATGGCTATATTCCTTGGAACACTAAAAAATATTATGGTTATGTGATGTATTTGTATTGCAGACAGATTCTGATTAAGGACATAAAGAATCCATTTTTAAAATGATCTGCACTTTTCCAAACTTATAGTATCCATTTTCTGACCTACTGTTCAGCCTATATAATTGCAGTATAATATGAAACCAATCTTGTATGAGAGTATTCATGATAACTGAAGATGCTCTGTCATGACATGCATCCACTTCATCTTAATGCCTATGTAGCCCCCCCCCCCCATTGAAAACAGAACATTATACTGAGCTGAAACAGAAGAGCTTGCTTGAGGAAGGGGACACATACTCCTTGTGAATGAATCTGTTTCCATGAACTGAGTTGGCAGCAAACATCTTATCAATTGTAGTCTTACATACTGAGATGCCAGATATTTTTACATGCTTTTATTTTCCCTCAAATTTGACAAAGGCAAAACTTTGTAAATGTGAGGAACACAAGGCTCCCCACACAGCAGTACTGACTCTGCCTCATAATTTCTCCAACTTCAGAAACAGACACTTTTACCACTTCTGAGACAGACAGAGACCAAGTCAGCAAGATCTTGGCTGGAAGCATCAGCCACAACAGTGCCATGATGACAGGAACTACCATCACACGAAGCTCAGAAAAATAAGATATAAAATCCAAATCCTTGTCTTCTAAGGATTATTATAAACCAGTGTGGATGTCGATACCCACTGAGACAACCACTTGAAACTATAAGAACAAATGTTTGTTGCGCTTAGAATGGGTATTACAAACGAGCTGGAGTGTGTCTAAAGAATACCGGCAGAGACTCTTTTTGTAGCAGCTGCTCCGGTTCTGCGATGATGGTGCCAAGTGCAGCCCCCTAAAAGGGCTTTTTGTTCAGCCGCATCTTCTTTATAGCAGCCTGGTGTTCTTCCTTTGCTGCCCTGCGTCTTCCTCGTAGTAGCCCGGTGTTCTTCCTTGCAGTCGCTCCGGGATTGAAAGCTGACCAGATAGTGGTGAGCAGCAGTAAATCTGGCTGGCAGACCTACGGTGTGTGCGCCGGCAGAGTCGGCTGTCTACTAGTGCTGTTACTGGAAAGTTACAGCAGCGGTGATTTCTTGAAGTCAGCATAGCTACAATGGCTGTGACTGATGAAAGACTGATACTAGCCTCAAATCAAACAAAGTCAAACTCACACTGCAAACTGACAGTCGGTCAGTCAGTCAATAGGTCTTGGTGTCAAGCCCCATGACCAGATATTTACTACTGTTTGACAGTTACGGTCTTGTTTTTGTGGGGCACCCTCTCTGACGAGAGGACGGGTCTGTCTTTTATATATGCTGCTGGCCCTTGCCAGCACAGTCTTTCTCGGGCTCAAGTCCATTGGCACTCGCGACCATATATTAGTGTCTCAGATGTGAGACTTCCATTTTCGTCGCCTCCTACAACTCACTGGGTCACGGTGGAGGTATTTGACCCCGCCTCCACACCGGTTCTTCTCCGATACTAGCCTGTTGGAGGCCTGCAATTTTATACTGTTACCACTGGGTGGCTGGCAGACCAGTTGGTGGTGGAGCTGCAGTTATGAGCGCTGATTGGGTAGCATTTGTGTGATGTGCAGACAACCAGGCTGTAAGCTGTAGTGTATAAATATCACCTGCTTTCGGTACATTGCGGGAGNGGTTCCCCCAACCCCCCCCCCCCCAATGTGGAGATTGTTGCTCAGATGTTCAGGCAAGCAGGGATGTGGATGTGGCGACCAGAGCATGTAGTTCTTATAGAGAATTGTGGCAGCATGGCAGGTGGTCCTGTGGTCATTGTTGCTGCAGCTGATGGGTTGATGCTGTTCTCGCGGTCAGTCTCTTTTAGGATGTAGGCTGGCTTGACCTTGTCGGCTAACACACTGACGTGCCTCCTGTGCACGAGGAGTTGCAGTGTCTTTGCTCTCCATGACAGGATCTGGTAGGGGCCGCTGTATGGGGGCTCCAAAGCCCGGCGCATTGTGCCCTGCCAAAGAAAGGTGTGGGTGCATTTCTCGAGGTCGCTGTGCATGAAGTAGCCAGGGAGGCATGGTGTGCTGCTGGAACGTGTCTGAGGCAGGCCATATGTTGGTGGAGCTCAGAGATGAGGTGCGCTGGATTCACTGGGTCTGCAGTTGGAGTTAGTAGCTCACCGGGTATTCTTAATGGCTCGCCCTACACCAGTTCAGCTACTGATGCTTGCAGGTCCTCTTTGAATGCTGTGCGGATTCTGAGGAGGGCTAGGGGAAGCACCTCAGTCCACTGTTGATTCATGTGGCACATGATGGCTGCCTTCAGTGTCCAGTGGAAGCGTTCCACGAGTCTGTTAGCCATGGGGTGGTGGGTGGTCATCCACAAGAGCTGAATGCCACACATCCTGGCCAGGGATTGGAAAAGTTGAGATTCAAACTGATGTCCCTGGCTGGTGGTGATGGTCTGCAGGCAACTGAAGCGGGATATCTAGCCAGTCAGTAGGGTGCGTACCACAGTGTCGTCCGTGATATCTGGGATGGGGATGACTTCTGGCCATTGAGTGAAACGGTCAACTGCAGTGAGGCAGTATGTATAGCCCACTGATGTTGGAAGGAGTCCTACAAGGTCTATGCACACATGCTGCCAGCAATGTAAAGTCACCCAAGGGAGTGAATGTGTGGCGGGAGACTTTGGAGCACTGGCAGGACTGGCAAGCATGTGCCCAGGTGTGGCAATCTTCTGCACTCCTGGCCACATGAAACACTGTGCGACCAGCTTTGCCCCCAACTCAGAAATACAGTGGTCTGAACTACACATGTAATTATATGTTCACAATCTTTCCTTCAATGACTCTGCACACAGATTTACATTTACTCATACCAAAACATTTGTTCATGTGTTGGCATACCTAATGACTGCCTCTGTGGTCTAGTGGTCAGCGTTCCTGGCTACAGATCCAGAGGTCCGAGTTCGATTCCCGGAGCTACCAGATTTTTTCTCATTAGTAGTGGGTCTGGAATGGGGTGCACTCAGCCTCATGATGATAATTGAGGAGCTATTTCAAGGAAACAGCAGCTCCGGTCTAGAAAACCGAAATCACCGGCCGTGCGGATTTGTTGCGCTGACCACATGACACCCTCTATCTGCAAAAGTTGGTACTAAACTTCGCCGACAAGCGGCGGTCACTCGGTCGGTATAGTTCGCTTGCGGACTAAAATCACAGAGTTGGCATACCTAATAAGAAGACTTCTTTGTGTTTGTCAAACTACAGTATACCTTATTTATCATAGGGATATGCAATTCAACTGTCAACCACTATCTTTAATAGTTCTGCATGAACAGTAGCATGCTAAGTGACTGACTGAATTTTGGATTTTTAACAACACTTTTTCAATGCCCTAAGTTAAGTAGATTTGACTGGTAAAATGATTCGCGGATGATGTGGACATCAAAGTATGTGGTAGCAATCTATGTTAATACAACATGGAAGAACTGAGGGAAACCATGAAAAATCCCAAAAAATAAATAGCATCAAGGCTGAGTATTGAATCTGTCCTCCTGGTTTAAGAGCAGGAGCGCTGCAGTGTTTGATATACAGAATGTTCAGAGTCAAGAACATTGATTATTTTCATTTGCATTCCTTATTCTGTCCAGAGAGTACAAACTTACATATTGGAGTTGCAGTAGAACACAGAATGAAAGAATGTGGAGACTGTGAAGAGAAGAATGAGAGCAGAGCCATATACCAATGCAGACCAATACTGTGGCCAACTGATGGCTCTCTCTATAAGTTCCAGGCTGGCCAGCACACTTGGGAACACCCACACCTATGAAGAGGGTGAACATTAATATACCTTGACAGGCACATGCAGTATTCAAACTCAAGATGGCCCATATTTATGTAACTCTCAAAAGGAGAAGAACCTGTCTACCTATATATTATACCAAACCCTTTTGATGACAGACACCAGAGCACAGAGCAAAAGCAGTTAACAAGATATTTTCTGATTCTGAGACTGAAAGATGTACATTCAAATCTCGATAAAAATGTTCTCTTTATTTGCACTTGAAAATTTGAAATTCACACATGCGTAACATACACTTTGTATCAGATAAAACAATCAAATAATCCAAAATCAGTTATAGCTAATATTAAAGTATGTACAAAAATTAATATGCAACTGCACTATTTATGTGCCTAGAATATAAGCTCTACTTCTCTGCCTGAAAGAAATTTGTTCCCTGACTAACTGATATATTATTTTACAACAGTCTTATCAACATTTTGTAATTCTAGTTTGGTAGTCAAGTTTACTGAATATCCCTGTCAATAACAACTGTCTCTGTTCTTTGAACATCACCAACATACATTACATTTACATTTACATAATATCTTAATTACTGAGGAAAATTATGACAGTATTCAAAATATCCCTTTCAATGTGATGGTTATTAACACAAATCCCTTTGAAAATCTTCAATCAAAAGGTACACAATATGACAATGTTAGAGTATATTAGTCACCATTCTTACAGGATGGAAAACTGTGATGTAAGACTGTCTACAGTCCTTATCACCAAAAATAAAAAAGAGCAAGAAACATTATTGCATACTGTAGTGCTGTTTATTATACGGATGTTTCACAAAAAGGAAATACTGAATGGATAAGTGGGAGGTCATGTCTGTCTGTCTATCTGTCTTCCGCCCATCTGTTCACAAACTGTATCTTCCAACCATTTTTTTGATTAAAAGGCAGGGTGAGGGGGGGGAGCACTTATGCTTGAAGCTGTGAGGCCATTTTCATTTTAGTGCACATCAAACTGCCATAATCATTATAAAGCTATGCTTTGCTAAGTCTGAACCCTTCACCACACATAGATCAGGGAAATCCCAAGAAGACAAACACAGGAAAAAGAATGCTAAAAAGAAGGCAAAATAATTTACTAAGAGGGACACAAGGTTAAGTGACAAGGTGACAGATTACAATCAGCTGGGTGAATACAAAATTTGATTGTGCCCTTCTGCCACATAGTGTGCCAACAGGACAAGGCACTGATTCAATAGGCATGTGCCTATGTGTGTGTGTGTGTGTGTGTCTGCACATGTATGAGTGTGTGCATGTGCATAGCAGTGACCTGTAGTCACTCACCACACTGACCCTGATGATGGAGTAGATATCTGAAACATTAGTTTTTAACGCAACACTGACACTGGTGATCATCCTAAATGATTTTAGCACATTTATTTGCTGCAAACCCTTCAAATCTTATATATCAGTTTGAAATAATTCTTATTACTTCATGTGCACTTGTCTCTAACAAAGTTATTGCTGTTGTAAGGAAAGCACAGCAAAAGCAACACTTTACTACCAAGCCTATCTTCCTACAAACACATAAACAAATTGTAATAAAATATAAAAATACAGAACAGCTATTATTGCTATCAGGCATGGCATTCCTTCAGTTTCTCAACTACGAGAAAAGTACTTCTGTTTATCTCTTGTTCAAGTGCTCATCTGTGAAACTAATTACAAATTTTTAATTATATTCCAAGAGTTAAAAATTAAATACAATCTGAACAGATAACAATAAAATCTACATACCCCATGTGTCACAACATTTGCTATGTGCTCAATGGGTGTCGGAATGTACGCCCGATTTGGGCTTGCCTTTTCATTCATCCATCGAACACTGTAATCAGATCAAAGAATATTTTGCTTTAAGTACTCACAAAATCTGTGAATTTCATACCAAGACACTGTAACATCCCTGCCTCAAATATTGAACTTAAAGTAATATGTGCCTGAATAAAAGAGAGCTGTTTAAAGCTGCAATGATAAATGTCTGTAGAAAAGTGGCACTGAACTATTTCTATTATAAAATCTCAGCTATTTACTGCTTCTTCTATTCAAGGGAGCAGGAACCTAATCCCTAAAGCAGTCACACTGCCTAAGATATTTCGTATCCTTTAACGTTCCCAGGACAGCATCTTTGAGGCAACAAAAAATAATTATTTTCTTACTTATAATTCATGAACTCCATGGATCTATAGGCAGGAACTCTGACCACTAGACCACAGAGGCGGTCAATTATAATTCATAATGAATATAAAAGTACAATATTAACGTATTCACTAATGTATCTACTGTCAGAACTATGAGATAGTAAAGAAAATAAACTATGGAGTCATGTATCACAAATCCCATCCTCTAAACTAAAATGAAGAGAAGGTATTCTGAATGAACATATCCTACAGGTAATAGCAGAGTTGGCACTTGCTTCAGATTAGCATGGCATTGTGGCACATCAGGACTGTGCCGGCAGAGCAACAAGGGCACTAGGTCTCTGCAGAAAAGGATTTACACTCTAGCTATTTACAGCCACAGACCAAATCAATTATCAGTCTGAATGACAACTTCACAGAGCCCTCAAGCTATGTGAATGTGATATAAAAGAGAAAATCTAATACCTTTACTCAGAATTAAATCCCTGAAATGTATACTAAAACCTGCAAATAAATGGCTGAGTAATTTAATGTTTCATATGCTATGTATACCCATATAAAATATATATGTTTTAGTATGAAGCCCATCAAATGTTCCTGTCAAGTGCACTGCAGTCCTGCTTCATATTCTGGATTCCTCAGGCTCAAATTCTGAAATGGAGACATATCCTGATTTATGTTTCTCATGATTTTCCTCAGTCTTTCAACAAATATGCCAGGATACCACCTCAAATTAAGCCACAATAAACTCCTTGCACATATTTTCTAATTTGTTACTCATTAATCGTCTTATAATTCAATGCTCTACTCTTGAGCTACTGACAGTGTCTTTAAATAAACCATAAACAAATGTTCAGTCTAATAAAAGTATGAAGAAAGCAGTCTTCTGGGATGCGGCACTGTGTAAATGTGGTGTTAACCGACGTTTCGGAGGAACGTATCGCCTCCTCCGAAAAGTCAGTTAACACCACATCGACATGGTGCCACATCCCAGAAGACTGCTTTCTTTATAGTCTTCGCCGTGAAAACCTCAAATCTTACATAATAAAAGTATATTAGAGATTTAGCTTAAATCCTTAAAATAAGCTATTGTTTGCTGAAATATGCTGATAGCAAAAATAACTTACATAAGCACTGTGATACATGCTTCTATATTTTGGAGACCTTTAACCATGACTAATGTTTCTCATAGTTTTAGTAATGCCTCTACATAAAATTCCAAATAATACCCATCGCCAGGAGTGCTTTTATTGGGAAAACCCAAAACATTTTTAGCTTCAAATAAATTGTTTCTCAGAAGTTTGCCTTTTAATTTAGATGCTTGATTAAAGTTGGCTACATTTTATGAAGGATCTACATCAAGGAGACATAACATGCAGCACAGTAGTGGCAAAGATGAAGCATCTACACGAGGAGCATACGTAAGTCCATACCTATACAAGTTCACAGTCTGTATGCATATGGTTTCATCAAACAAGTATGTTACAGTAGGAATTCACATGATGTAGCTCCATGGATCAGTCAACCTAATAACTGCTTAGGTAGTCCAGAAACTCCTCAGCCTTCACAGAACTTGAAGATTCATCACCACATTCACAAGAGCTCACCCTAGAGCCTTTGCTGTACTAGATGGATCCAGTCACATCCTATTTCTTTAATATTTCTTTTAATACTATCCTCAGATTTTTGTTTGGGTGATCCCTTTTCCTTAGTTTTCTAACAAATATTCTGTGAAATTTATCATCTCTCCCATGTGTTCTATGTCTCTCATTCACCTCATCTTCCTGGATTTGATTACTTTAATGTTTCTTAAAGATTACAATTTATGAAGCTCATCATTATGTAATTGTTTCCACCCTCCTGTTACTTTCTCTCTCTTAGGTCCAAATATTCTCTTCAGCTCTCTGTTCTCAGTCTACTTTCTTCCTTTAATGTAAGATATCATGTTTCATATTCATACAGAGTATCTGGTAAATTATAGTTTTGTATATTTTAATTTGTTTTTAATAAAAGATAGGATGACAACAGGACTGTGAACTAAATGGTACCAAGCATTCTCCAGTTTTATCTACACATATCCTCAATAACAGAGTTTTAATGTGGTACTGCCATTACCATCTCTGCCACAGTTTCAAAGGAAGTTATTGCTAATAATTATTGAGCCATAGGAAGATACAAAATGTATGCTAGATTGACATCCTTATATTGCATAAAAAATACCTATGCACACTGGGCTCACTACATCAAGAATCATAGATGACATCATAGCTACACTGTTCCACTGCATGTGGCTGCATGCACATGACCTATAGCTCCTACTCACTGTTCTGCAATTCAAGTGTGGACTGGATGTTTTCTTTTCTTCAATACTAGCAGGGCAGATCACAGTATGCATAGTCCTATTTCACCCTCATTCTCACCAGGTTTTGTAGAGATTTCTTTGCTTCTAGTTATAATGAGGCATATATAAGCTTCATGTAAGTTATCTACAAACCATAATAAATTTAAAGAAATGTACAGTATGTCCAAGGCATCTTCTCATGAATCGTGTGAATATGTTTAACAATTTAAAACCTTTTATTAATTTATTTCTGGTTTATTTAATGACAATTTAAATAGCTCAGATTATAATAGCAATATATTATAAGATTAGTGAATAGTGACTTGGAAAGGATGTGGGAGGAGTTAGTCATGGTCTACTTAGAGGTGTTATGCCAGCCTTTGCCTGGAGTGCTAAGGGAATCCTGACAGGATAGGCAATCTCCACTTTGAAATTTAAGCTCAGAACCGCAGGAATGTAAGCAGGGTGCTACCCACTCAACTGTGTCATTCAGGTGACCATTTATATTAAAGGAACAGAAACTAGAGAAATGGTGAAGAGTGATTTCTAATAGTTATTTGGCAACAAAACAGGTCTGTTATTTCACAATATGTATTATGTATACCAAATATGTTTTGTATTTATATGACATATTCCACTCCTACAGTCAATTTGACTAACTTTGGATACATGGAATGCAATGCAATGCAATGCAATGTAATATAATGTGAGGTAATGTTCATCATGTAAAATATCACATATCAGGTAATGTCAATAAATATGCTGAATGCAATGAAAGTGTATTTCTAAAAACTATGTGGGACAGAATTAAGTATAACACAAAAAAATCAAAATATAAGAAAATACAAAAAGCACATAAAATCTTCATAAAAAAAAAGAGTATTGTTGCATGATATTTATATCATGAGTTACATAAGCTATTATCACACAAATGTGACTGGGTTTCCAATGCTCATACCAGCCTTAACGGCTGCAAAATTCCAACTTAGATGCAATAAAGATATGGTTTAACCTGGGGCATCAAATGTTTCAAACAAATTTCTGTCATGTTACAGTGTCACTTTGCTTTACATAGTCAATTCACAATACACTGGGGCATGCGGTAGCATAGTTGGTTGAGGCACCATGCTACAAGCTGGATGGTCATGGGTTCGAGTCCCAATGAAGTGGATTTTTTCAGTCTACCTAATCTTTCCAGCTGCATTATGGCTCTGGGGTCAACTCAGCCTCTAACAGAAATGAGTATATTTAATTACCTTTGAGCTTTCTCTTGATAGTATATTTTATTTGCATTCCCACCCACTTATTGCTGACTTACTGCGCGATTAATCTTCAACCCCTAAGATGGAGTGGATGCATTCTTCTAAAACACAGGCGGACACCTATCAAATTACACAGAATGGGAACCTAAATCCCATATCCAAAATAACAAACCTCTTTATCTTCCTGTTATGTAGAGACTAAGCTTTGTTTCATGAATGGCCAGTTGTATAAAAAAGTAAAATAAGCATGACTTCATATTCGAATATAGGACCAGCAAAATTAAAGGTGGATTATATTGGAAAACTTGGGAATTGAAAATTAAGATACTCACTTCTGGAGCCACTTCCAGTCTAACCATTGGCATGGAAGAGAAAGAGAGTTCTGGATTCTGGATATTGGCATGCCCTTAACTTGGTTCAGTGTGTAAAATGTCATGATTTTCTCCAGAACCTTTCATGCAAACAAATGGGCTCCATTCTCTTCACTAAAGTAAAAAAAGAAAAACATCCCTTTATCATCTTATACATCAAAAAGAATATTTTCAACAGATCAACAGAATTTATGAAATGATTCAGTTCATTATGAACTACAACTGTCCTACTTCTACGGCCATCTGTTAAGTAATCGAAATGTCAATAGCTTGACTTCTGACGTGGAAATGTGGGTCATGACGCTAATTCTTAAACATTATGAATGAACGAATTAATGATTCGAATACTTATTTACAAAGTCTAACACACATTGCAGCTTTGACAACGAAATCTTAAAATTAAAAGTGTTTAATTTTTACAAAATCATGATTATTCAACAACCGGTCATATATAGTACCAAATTGTCGGTGTACCTTCGAAAGGGTGATAACGTAATGATTCCAGTCCATTGCGGAATATTAATGCATGACGATTCCTCGAGATACACCGTAATTTGTACTACAATACACCGTATTAGAGTTCCTAATATATCCACTAAAATGCTTTCATATATATATATATTTATAAAAATAAACCTACCCAGCTCCACAGCCCCCACGGCCCCCACCACACATTCAAACCGCACGTTCACTTCCGATCACTACCTTCCCTTCCCCAGAACTGAACTGACGTTCGCTGAAGTTACTGACCGTTACGGATTGCACGGAATCACGGACGATCACGGAATAGGCCGAACACACGGCCCCTCTCACTCACACGATAACCAGAACCCTTGCGAGGCTTACGAGGCTTACGAGGCCTACGAGTTTGCCCGACAGCCAGGGTCGCGGTCAACTAGGTTTCTCCGACCAATCGACAAATCAAATGTAAATCGTAACACACAGATGTTTATTTGACAACAGTTTGGACATGCGCCCAGGATTGTAGATCCAAATCACGCACAGCAAACCCATCGAATTCGGCAGATTATCGCGCAAAAGATGAACACGGTGGCAAAAGCGTGCAATTATCGTACAATATCGCAACATTGTAGCATAACATCAGAAGCAAGCAAAATAACTACAATTTTATTTCTAGGCAGAGATTTTTAACAAGAGGTGATATATTTAAATTGTCATATCATATCTCATAGCAACATCTAATTTGGAAGGACAGTTCTGGACTGATCAATGTGTCGGGATGCAGCCCAGAGCAACAACCTGAACAAATATTTCAGATACTATACAAGAGAACGTTTGAAAATTTCAATAATTAATGCTTAATGTATCAGGGGAGGAGAACAAATATCTGCATAAAAACGAAAGATGTTTGACAAAGCCCATCGTTATCACCAACAAAACCTGAAGTTTCATTGACACCCCCTTCCCCTTGAAATATCTTATTTCATCGCTCTATTACCCTGTGTCCCCTTAGTTGATATTCTCATGATATTTTTTACTGCCATTACTGATGAATGAATGAATTACCTTTCATTCTCATCATACCTTTTTTTTAATTCGGGGGTGAGTCCAGTTGGGTCCACTCGGCACAGTGGCCACTGATTGGCCTGTTGTACCTGTCCCGGGTGTTTATGATGATGGAGAATTTGGTGGCATGAAGATTGGCAGGGGAAACCGAAGTACCCAGAGAAAACCTACCCCAGCGCCACTTTGTCCACCACAGATCTCAGCGACTAACCGCTTGAACTAAGGCGCCCCCCCTCCCCATCATACGTTACTTAGGTTACTTACACTTATTTCCATACTACATGACCATATCGCATATCTTTGCATTCCGTTTCAATATGTGTATATTCATTGTGTGTTTTCCTGATATAGGCATGTAGTATGTGAAAGTGAGAAATGTGCGGGATGCAAAACGAATTTATGTTATGGTAGAACAACTGCCAAAGCAGGCTCTTTGGTGTAACCCCAAAGGAAGTAAATTCCTGGTAGATTATGCATAAGGTGGAATTCATAGAAACCGGAATAGGCCATCAGTCTAATTCTTGAATTGGAAGAGAAGAAGAAGAATATATTTTGACAAATTTACACAATTTCAGTCCCCCTGAATAGGAAAAAGTTACATTTACTATGATGCCATCTTTCTGTAAATCTGTACGTGTGCCATGCTAGCACCTGAATGATTAGACAGACTTTATTCATCCCCGATATTTAGGAATTAGTTCATCATATGTCGGTGCCTGGTGAACATGAATATTCCTGAAGAAAGCAGTCTTCTGGGATGTGGCACCGTGTAGATGTGGTGCTAACCGACGTTCCGGAGAAATGTATCGCCTCCAACTTCAGGGTAGAAGGAAAAATAAGAAAATCCGAATGCGAAGAGACAGTGAGAACAGGTGCAGATTTTCTTATTTTTCCTTCTACCCTGAAGATGGAGGCGATACGTTTCTCTGGAACGTCGGTTAACACCACATGTACACGGTGCCACATCCCAGAGGACTGCATTTGTCATAGTCACCTCCGTGAAAACCTCAAATTTTACATGAATATTCTTGTTCCAAAAATAGGGGCCCTTCACAGCAGGCCCCAAACACAAAATTGCTATCTTCTCTTAAACAGCTTCAAGGGATTTTGATTAAATTATTTTTTTTTTTTTTTTGGAAACTTCCCCCTAAATGAAACTGCATAATATTATCTTCAGAAAATTAATGATACAGTCGCTAGCAGCACAAAGGTGAGTTGTCAGTTTTCTAGGAAGCCGCTTAACCGATTTTAAGTTTTCATTATGTACAGAGGACATAGAGCCAAATAGTAGTTTATAGGCTGGAACATTCTAAATGTATAGATTATTTCAGGATAGTAGAAGGCTGTTATCTGTGAAGTAAAAAAAGTAAAGTAAAGTAAAGTAAAGTTATCCCTGTAACAGGACGTGAAGGCCCATACGGTTGTTAGACGTTGAGGTTCCCACATTATCTAGACAATCGGCTCAAAGATGGCGGTTAGGTTGTCAGCCTTATGCGCCGGCCGGCTTTACCCCCCAGGAAAATTATTTAATTATTTCCTGGTACTCATTTTTGTTGGGGTACGCGGTAGCGTAGTGGTTAAGGTGCTATGCTACAAGCCGGAAGGTCTCAGGTTCAAGCCCCGTTTGGATTTTTTCAATTGACCTAATCCTTCCGGCCGCACTAGGCCCTGGGGTTTACTCAGCCTCTAACAGAAATGAGTACCAGGAATTAATTAAATAATTTTCCTGGGGAGTGAAGGGCGGCCGGCGCGTAAGGCTGACAACCTTACCGCCATCTTTGAGCCGATTGTCAAGGTAATGTGGGACACTTAAAGACTCACAACCCTATGGGCCTTCACGGCCTGTTACAGGGATAGCTTTACTTTTTTTTTTTACTTACTTATTTCTGTTAGAGACTGAGTCGACCCCAGGGCCATAGTGCGGCCGGAAGGATTAGGTCAATTGAAAAAATCCAGTGTACTCATAGAGACTTGAACACGCGACCTTCCGGCTTGTAACATAGTACCTCAACCAACTACACTACAGCGAGCCCCGCAGTTTTTAGCCTCACACCCAACCCTCAAGCTGGAGGACCAAACACTGTCGGATATCTGGAGATCGTCCCTTCCCTCTGCATCCTGAGGACGCACCATGCCGTGTTCACAAGGAACACAATTAACATGGCTCCACATATCATAATTTTTAAATTTCGAGGGTCGTAATTGGCCGTGTTCAAATACTTACTTGAAATGCAAAATATTGCTTATATTTAATGCATTTGTAAAAAAAAATGAATGACAAATATATTTTTCCGCCAGCCTCACTAGTGGTTTACAGAGTCCCATGTATTTGGTCACGTCTGGCAGATTGTCTGAAATACTGACAGCGTCGTAAAGGGTAACATAACATGATATTGGCCTGTGAATTCCAGTTTTAAAATATAACGATATAGTTCTTCCAACATGGTTTCCGAAGTTAGACCACCTCTGTGGTCTGGTGGTCAGAGTTCCTGGCTACAGATCCAGAGGTTCCGGATTCGATTCCCGGCGTTACCAGATTCTTTCTGAGAAGAAGTGGGTCTGGAACGGGGTCCACTCAGCCTCGTGAAGATAATTGAGGAGCTATTTCAGGGAAATGGCGGCTCCGGTCTAGAAGACCGAAATTATCGGCCTTGGGGATTGGTTGCGATGACCACGCGACACCCTCTATCCGCAAAAGTTGGCACTAACTTAGCCGACAATCGGCGGTCGCTCGATCGGTATAGTTCGCTTGCGGACTAAAATCGTGGATTTTTTTTGTTTGCTTTATTCAAAATTCGAAGGAAATCCAGCTGATTCTCACTTGACACATGTTGAGTGAGTGGTATGAGTGAGTGTGGTTTGGATATTGTCTTCTCACCTGATCGCCAGGTAGCTAGAGCCAAATTTCGGCATTACGAAAAGAAAATTAAGACTCTGGATTGAATGCAAATTCCTGGCGAAGAGCCTGCATTCGTCTCTAATTACAGGCTGCAGTGCAAGAACGCGTGATTTGCGCGACTGCCAATGTAAATGTACTTTGAACTTAATGCTGAGGTGTGCTTCGTGCCGCGCCTTCACAGAATTTACATATTATCTAGTACAGTGAATAAGATTTTGCTAACTTTTATTATAAATAGTTAACTCCGAAATAAAATCATTCAAATTTCTCTGCTTTAATTTAATTATTTAACAAGCCACATGACGTAGTGATAGCACAATAAAGTCACACTCTAACCGACTTCGAGACAACAACCAGCGAATGTAAAATAGAACTGTAATCGTGCAACCGCAAACACAAAAGAGTGTAATGTTTAGGAATAAACTGAATGATGAATGTATTAATAATGCTGTGAATGTGTCACTTCGTCTATCGTCCGTCGAACCTCATGACATCTTTGAGCTCCACATGTATGTTCTTGAGACAGAGAACATTCTCCGTGCCCTACCGAGCAGCTGTGGAATTTGTGGCCATCAATTAAGGTCAATGAGATGTGACAAGCCTCACTAATGACGGGTTTCGTCACAGTGTCTGGAAATTTCATCTTATTAATTGTGAAAAAGTATTGAGAAAGTTCATCTGCTTTTAAATGGAGGAGGGGAGATCATTCTTTTCGCTTGGGGTGGAATTTTGGCTCACACCAGCTCTGCTGATGAGTAACATAACTGCGATTCGCGAACTGTCTGGGTATTCATAAATTTTTTCATGGAGCTTACCAAAAGAGAAGCATAATAACGAAGTATTCACGAATATGTAAGATTATTTAATATAAGGCATATTCATATTCTGCTTATGTTACTCTCTTTGTTGCGGATATTTCTGTATATCTGGGGGTGGGGAGCAGCCTCTTCGAATCGCATAACACAGACATCTGTGACTACATTCTTACATATTTAGTGTCTAGATACGAGGTTTGGATTGGTAATTGGATTTATTGGACTCTTACACAATTCTTAACTGGAGTAATTATAGCTCTTTCTTTAGTATGAGCACTTCAAGTTTCACAACAGCATATAAAATATCTTCACTATGCGCTGCATGGCAACATTGGTCAAGGCGAAGCCCGACATATAAAATACAAGAGGCTTAAACTTGGCGGCGGTCAGGCATACGACCGTTCAAGTGACTAGACTGCTGTGGTAGCGAATACTACTAGAAATAGGACATAATGTGCTGTACTGAGCCTAGACTGACAAGAGGCCTTGTATATAATATACGTACTAGATATTAAGTTTCAATTGTAAATAAGTGTACATAGTGACAATGGACTAATACTGTCGACTATGACTGACAAATGACAGACTCGACCTCTCG